AGGGTAAGGATAGGCTGGGCCTGCACCTCCAATGGTGGTGCAGAAGGGAATTCCGTTAAAGGAATCCAGGGGCTTGCCACGATTTCGTCTAATCCTTGAAATGGGGCTAGGGCCGGCAAGCCCTGGGTGAGCGGTGAGGGCCTGTGACTCAGCTCCATTGCTCCCCAATATTGTTTTCCCTTCACTGGCTTCCGAGGGAGTTCAGAAGTCAGTTCGGCGGGGGGACAGATAGTCTTAACCAATGCCTAAGCAACCACTCACAGATATGTATTTTAATAAAGTTGTGGCCAAAATTATGCCAGTAACCTTAAACAAAAATATGTGTGAGTTGTGAGTTATTTGAGGGGTGGCTTGAGGACCTCGACACACAACAAGAGGCTATGGTAACAAATTACTATTATCAAGGGACAATAGCAGGCCTAGCTTGCATGGAAGATTATAAAGGGTGTAGGAGAACAATCTCTTTCATCTAGTCCTCTCCTATTTTATCAACTTTACTGTCTCTATTGCTAAAGCATGTGCACAGGGTACAGGCACACTAGACACACTTGGCATGAAGAGCAGGGTTTGGAGGGGGTTCTCTAGGATAGGGAGGAATAAAGCTCCTCATTCCTACTGTTTTGCTTTTTGTACAAAGGTATACGTGGTTGCTTCTTTTGATGTCACTGCACTGTGTTACGAGAAGTAACTGGGCCCCAGTCCTACCATAATATACACATGCTGCACAAAAGAAATTGCATTTGAAAGTCATAAAAGATGAGAGAATATTCAGTGAAATTCTCATGGGTGGTGGATTTGTGTCATACTTACCTTACTTGTTGGGTGTTGGCATGGTGTTTGTGTGTATCCTTTTTTTATTCTACCAGTAATTTCTCTGTTGATCTGCTTTCTGCAGCCTTCCTGGGTGCCCATACTTTAATTAAATTCCATGCTAAGAAACATGGGGATTTTTCTGATCATGGGCAGCCAGGATAGTGTTGGATAAATGTTTACCCATAGGGACGGGGAAGGCACCATCCCTGGCCACTTTAGAATAACAAGGTAAACTCAAAAACCTTCCACACACTGAAATTCTCAAGTAGCCAAAGAATGATGCCAAAAAACTGGAGTTTCTTTTGTAGAGGAAGAACTCTTTTTTTAAAAAAAATTGGACAACAGATTTTGATACAGCACAAACAAAAAAAGTTTGCATTTTGATATGTCTCTGAATTCTCTGTGCTACATCTCTCTATGCATGTTGACACCTAAGGAATTTGGGGAGATGAAAGAAAGTAGGGAGAGAGCAACTCACCACTCATTTGCTTGTTCATATCCCAAGGATCACTTGATCCTTCTCTGTCAAGCAAACTTTGTAAAGCACTAATAGTTAATAAAAGTAGTAACAAAAAGGTCTGTAATCATTGTCTAACCATGGTCTGTTATACATGCAAAGCAACATTTGTCTTTGATTTGTTGTCCGGGGACTTGCTTTTGTTTTATTGTCTCCTTTTGATTTCTCTGTGGGGTTGTATATAACTTCCTTGTATTTTAAGTGTACTGTTAGTGCCACTCTCCAGTGTAGTCCTCAGAGAGTAATCATGAGATCGGTCTTTTCTTGTGTGTATAATTGCCAAGGCTTTTCACAGCTTAAATAGAAAAGCCTCTAGGGTGAGTTGCTTGCTTTTTTATATGTATAATGTTTATGTGGCTAGTTCTGAAACTGAGCTGTCACCAAATCATATTACAGGCAATTTCAGTCTCTTGCCAAGAAATCGCTGGTGTGGAGCCGAGGCCAAATCACTTTCTTATCAGTGCCCATCTGTAGCGAATGAATTGTGTGAAACTGACAAGCGCATACAGAGCTGGAGATTGGGCAGGGTGAGGCTGCTGCCTCAGGTGGCAAAAGCCGCCAAGATGCCACCCCTATGCCTTTCCTGCCATCTCCACCAACAGCAGAGAAGTGGTTCTGCCATCAGTGCTGACTTCAGGCGAGATCACATCCACTTGGGGTGAGATCTTACCCAAAATCACTGAGATCATGTCTGAAATCGGTGCCAGCGTCCTTTGTTTAGGATTTCATGAAAAGACAAACCCACCAAACAAAGCCACCACACAAGAAACAGCAAAGGATGAAATGATAGAGATGGATATCTGCACATTCTCAATATTGTTCAATTGTATGGCAGATTTTAAAATACAAATAAAGCCCAAAACATTCAAATCCATGTGTGCTGTATTAGGTACAACACATCCTAGGAAAGAATTCAGTGTTGAAATTCATTTCTGCTTGTCTGATGAAATGATCTCTCTCCTCCGCCCACATGCTGTTCTGGTAGATGTCCTGACCCCGCACAAGCCAGCTGGGATGGGAGAAGGGGGAAAGCCCCATTACACTAGTGGACGTCTTTGCTTCCAGGGCCAGTTAGTTGAATTGAGCCCTTAATCTCCCTCCATCCTATAACAAACACCATTCTGCTTGTCACCTTCATGCTGTTGACTGTTCATTTATGGCCAAACTTCTGCATAGAGGCCAATGTGCGTACAAGTCTACTGCATTAGTTTTGTTGTTAAGTGCATAGAATCTAGGAAATTACTGTGAGGTTGAGACTTACATGCATAGTTTTACAGTTGAATGCTTCATCCAATTCATCAATATATGGCAAGGCAAGTGTGCCTTGTGGCAAGGAACAAGCCAATTCCCTCTCAATAGGCCAGGCATGTCCAAAGTCTGTTTCAGGGACCTAATCCAGCCCACTGGTTGGTTTAATCTTGGTTTAATCTGGCCCCCTCAGCAAGTTCAACCCTAAAAAAAGCTCAACAACTTCAATCCTAAAAAAGGTTAACAACTTTGGTCATCCCTCACGGCCCTTCACTTCATCAAATCCGGCCCTCTTTGAAAAAAGTCTGGTGGACACCACTGCATAGGCTTTCTTGCACCCAGAAGCTTGTCTGAACCAGGCCAATATGCCACTGCTTCGAGCATTATGTCATCTCATCTTTTTTAGTTTCCCAGTTTGAGCTCTTTATCATCTGAAGGCTTTTAAACAGATCAGAAAAAAGTGCTTTGCTATGTTGCTGTATCCTTTAATTTCCTGTTATGTGTTGTATTTTTAGTGTTGCATTAAATATTGTACAACAGAAGTTATCTCTCATCGTAATATACTTTCAATGGGACTCCATATGCTCCTAGCTAACAGGTTGTTCCAATTAACTTACTGTAGTTTTATGAAAATATACCACACATCTATATAAAAGAAACACCCACTTGGTACCTAATAACATTAATGGTGTGGAAACATAAAAGCCAAAATAAGAATTAAGAAGAAATTACTAACAGCAAGTGTAATGGCCTAATTAAATCATAGTTGATAACCATGCAGTACTATTGAAGACTTTCTGGATTTGAGACTGTGTAGACACAGGAGAGTACTTCACATACAACTGGGCTCAGCTTGTTTTCTTTTTTTTCTTATTGCAACGTTTCAAGTGTTGAAGAGGAAGTATGCAATTCAGTACCTTGTTTAAATCCTATCCAAGTCTGAGGAAAGATTCATTCATGTTTTATAAGAATGCAGGGTCCTGGGGAAATGAAAAAAATATATATATAAAAGGAGAAGCGATATCAGTTACTTCTTAAAAACAAAAGAACTGGGTAGCTTCCATGTCCTATTATATATTCTGTTTCTGTTTATTGTGCTGATTATAGGTTTTTCATGCTTAATGCGTTTTCTGGACCTTGTTGTAGCAGAAAACTGACTAACAGATAAAGACTTTATAGCTAAAAGATGATTCACAGCAGGCCCAATAACTTGTGACCCACCAAGTTGAACAAAGATCTGTCAGTCATTTATGATGCTCTACCAGAAGCTCAGTAAATGAATGTTTTTGCTGGTTTTGCTGGTCCAACTTGGATTGAATAAATGGGACAAGAAAGTTTCATGTGGTGTGAATAGTTGATGGGCCGAGCTTTGCTCGGCTTGATAGGTCACAAGTTGTGCAGGTCTGATCTAAATATGCATTCAATGTGTTGGAATGGCAGGACTCATAGAACATAATCCTCCCCTCCCTTACACTGATTGCTGGGTAAGTAAAGTGGTATATAAATTTGTCTCCTCTAGTCTACACCTACAGATAGGTATACTGCTGAGAGCAGCATCACCACAACAACAGAAGGCATGAGCTATGCTCAGTGAGTGTTAAGCTACCAGTGGTGGTAAGGTGTGAAAAACTCCAAAACAGGGCATTTGGCAGCTATGGACCCACTGAATCCAGTGGCTGCAGTGCTGGATCTTCTTGAAGGAGCGTCTCCACCCCCATCGTTCAACCCAGACATGGAGATCCAGCTCTGAGGGCCTTCTGGCAGTTCCCTCACTGTGAGAAGCGAGGTTACAGGGAACCTGGCAGAGGGCCTTCTCAGTAGTGGCGCCTGCCTTATGGAACGCCCTCCCATCAGATGTCAAGGAAATAAACAACTACCTGACTTTTAGAAGACATCTGAAGGCAGCCCTGTTTAGGAAAGTTTTTAATGTTTGAAGTTCAATTCTGTTTTTAGTGTTCTGTTGGGAGCCGCCCTGAGTGGCTGGGGAAACCCAGCCAGATGGGTGGGTTATAAATCATCATCATCATCATCATCATCATCATCATCATCATCATATCATTACTACACGTGTGCTTCGCTGACACCTCATTAACACTGATCTGCCTGTCACTTCAGCAGGTCCACGGACCCATTTGCAGAACCAGAATTTGCTCCCAGCATCCCCTATGTTAATCCACATCATTTTAATCACCTGCCAGTTGATCTTCAAATTAGCTGCTGTCTTTGTGGTTTGACACATTTCCAGTGTGACTTTGATATCATGTAGGTTGTTGACACAGTAATATTATAATATTTATACTGAAGAGATTAGAAACTCCTTAAATTCATTGGTATTTGTATCATACCTCTAAAGTGAATTGAGCAGCTGTTGTACTTTTGTCCAGGTACTTGTGATCACCTTCTGATTCTTCTTTCCCTTTAGGATTTTGGCGATGATGGGTCCCTGTACATTACTAAGATCACTACAACTCACATGGGAAATTACAGCTGCTATGCAGATGGCTATGATAAACTTTATCAGACTCATATTCTTCAAGTAAATGGTAAGGGGAAATGTTTGATTTGCCAAGTTGTGGTGCCGTCTCTAGATTTAATTCAGTAGACTGTTTTGGTTTCTTAATTGCTATATGAAAACCAAAAAGCAAAAACAGACATGGATGATCAGTTTTCATTAATATTTTCTCTTCTATAAACAAAGCTACAGGAAAATGAGATTTAATCACAGCATGTAGCAATTCTAAATAATTAATTCTTATTGAAAATAATAAGGAAGACCACACAGTTTATTTACTCTGTACTTTGAGCTCTTAATTGTGTTAAACAATGTGCCTTCTTAGTATTCTGTTTGTAAAATAATAGATATTTAGGGAAAACATGGCTTTGAATAACAGATTAATCATGTTATTGCATAGTGCAATAATCCATTTGTAGTCTGTCTGTTTTCAATAATGTGGCATGCTTTCCAGAATAAAGCTGTCCTTGTATTAAAGAAAAATAGGACTTAAAATGCAGAGCAACCTAATGCTTCCAGTAAGCCATCATAGACCTACTGGAACTCAGTAACAATGGACACCATTATCTCTGCTTAGTGGCTTGAAATGCATGGGATTTGGCTAGTATTTTGAAGCTCCTTCCCAAGCGATCAGATTATCTAATATGTATTTTGCTTTATTGAATAGAGTGGTCAGAGGTCTCTATGAATATTTATTAGCTCTGTACGTGTCAATCACTATGACTTCTTGATATCTAGGAAGGAGTTAAGACTTATTAGAAGGGTGCTACTTCATCAAATTCCACAAGAATCCAAATAAAAGGAGGCATTTTATCTCTTTAGGCCAAAGGATCAAACCAATCACCTACCTTTTTTCTCTCTTAACTTAAAGGAGGTAGGATTGTTGGGGAAGAAGAAGGGCATTGAAAAAGATACAGATTTTTACAGGGCTATAATGTGCCACATAGTTTCTTACATTAAGGATACATCTCTCTACAATTAATGCAATCACTGTGACCATGATTTGACAGTACTCCTGTAGTTATATTTTGACTTTCGTCAAATCAGATTGTGAACAGATGAATATATTGGGATTTGCACATTGGAGCTAAACTGGGTCAAAATGTGAAGCTTAATGCATTGGTCAGATGAAGCAGCAATTTTATGGATTCTGTTTGTAGCTCTAACCACTGTTTTCCTAAATATTGGCAAAGAAACCAGCACTTGTAGTCCAAGAAAAAGATTAATTAATGCAATGGCACTCGTATAACAGAAGAGTCAAAATAAGGTTAACAAGATAATGAAGCTTAGTTGATCTTTAAGATCTAATGTGAGAATGCTTTGAAATATGTTTGATTGGACTTTAACCACTTTTGCAACATGTCTATTTTCATTCATTTTATTCATATGAATCAGTAGTAATTGTTATCACTAATGTACTGTCATTTTATCTCAGTTAAAATTTGCTTTGTTTTTCCTTTCTTTTATCCCAGAATTAAATTCCATTTTTGTTTGTGTTCTATTTTATTTTTACTTATTTGTTTAGATTTATATCCTGTGTTGACCTGAGGATAAATCAGCATATACCGTAAATATGTCACTTTCTAACCATGTATGGATTTGAGCAATATTAAATGCATAGCAGAGAGAGAGAGAAACAAGCACAGGTTTAATGCAATTATATATTGGCATTAACTCTGTGGAAAGGCATTCCAATAATCACATCCATCCCTAGTCCTGCATATACTGCAATGTACTTGCAAAGGTAGTAATAATGCATGAGAGAGGTAATGCAAACATAATGTGGGAGAGCATCTACAGCTTGATTTTTCATTGCTACAGCCACTTGGTGTGCCTTAATCATTGTTGATCTTCCATGGGCAGGGGTACATCAAAAGACCCAACGTCTAGTGCTACTAAAAGAGAGAGAGAAAGAGAGCACAATTTTATTTTATTTACGAATATTCACCATGTTAAATTTTGAGTTGATCTGAGTGTGGAAACAGAATGAATGAGGTAGGACAGTGACAGGGAGCAATTGATGTTTTTAATAATGTCATAGACAAGAGGCATTTGCTCTTTTACTGACTTATACATAATTTATAGAATTCAGTCTATAATTTTTCATTCAAACTTTGCTTCATTTTCAAAGAAGTACAATGTGCAAATAAAACAACCCAAGTCCAATAGCAACTTTTCATACAACATAGATAAGTTGTCGTTATTATATTATCTTAGTGATATATCTATGGCAATTTGATGAATAGTGGCTACCTGAATAGAAAAGTGACAAAATTTAGCAGCAGAGAAAATAATATTTATATGGATATATATATACAGTGGTACCTCGGGTTAAGTACTTAATTCGTTCGTTTAGCTAATGGGGCCTCCTGCTGCTGCCGCGCTGCTGGAGCACGATTTCTGTTCTCATCCTGAAGCAAAGTTCTTAACCTGAAGCACTATTTCTGGGTTAGCGGAGTCTGTAACCTCAAGCGTATGTAACACGAGGTACCACTGTATATTGGAAAAAGAGCAATACCTGTAAGATTTCATTTTATTTATTTAAATAAATTTTTATTAGATTTTCCACTGTGATTGGACTTGTAAGATTTCATTTTAAGTAAATTCATGAGCACTATTCAGATGAATGGTTAGGGAGGACCACATCAAATGGGCTTCCCCCCTGTAATCCACACATTCAGTGCAAATGTCTGAAGAATGAGATTGGGCCATCATGTACACAGGCTTCCACACAATCTGGAACCCTAAGCAGTAGAAATCAGTCCTTGTCACCCTATCAAGGCCAAAGAGTCTCACCTGGTGTCATCATTACATGTCTTTAGGTGTCAGGTGAAAACATTCCTCTTTACCCAGGCCTTCAGCCTCTAAACAATCTGTGGCCTTTTTAATGCATGGGGGGGCAGTTATTATGATTGTTCCTGTGATTATTTTCCTGTCTATTTTTATTATACTATGTAAATGATTTTCTAATGTTATACACCACCCTGGGATCTTCAGATAAAGTGGGTTATATAATTTGAAATAATAAATAATAATAATAATAATAATAATAATAATAATAATAATAATAATAATAGCAGCAGCAGCCAATCTCCCTGCAACAACCCCAATTTCCCCAGGTTTGTGAAAGGAAACATAGGTGAGGAATGTGAATAGCAACACTGGGATTCAGGATTAAGACCTAGACACTAGCACCAGCATGCTCATGTTGGCTGCTGCTGTGCATATGTTCAGCAGTGTCCAGAACTGAGTCTGAGGCTTAATATCCTTCATCGAGAAAGGGTGGGATAGCAGCATGAAGCGTGGCTGCAGGGCTTTATTGTTATGTATCTGTCATGTATGATCTAGTTGAGATTCCTGCATTGCAGGTAGTTGGACTAGATCAGGCACGGCCAAACTTGGCCCTCCAGCTATCTTGGGACTACAACTCCCATCATCCCTAACTGTGCTGGTCCCGGGGGGGGGGGTTACCGTGCGGCGTGGTCTAAGTCCGGTCCTAGGTCGAGGGTAAGGAGGCTGTCCGTCAGGGGCAAAGCAGGTCCAAAGCGAAGAGTTGGGTGTGGTCAGGAACTCGGGCAGGAGAGTAGGTCAGGGTGCTGGCAGGAACAGGTTACCAACGATGTTGCTCCCGCCAACCTGGGACTGGGCTGACTGGCCTTTATCTCCTCTGAGGCATAGGGCAGTCCCGGCCCACAGGTGACTCGCCTCTCCTGGCCTTAAGGTGAGCACTCCTCCTGTGAGAACTTAGTTCCCTCCGCCTCTCTGCCCTGAGCCTCTGCAGCTCCAGAAAGGCTGGAGGGTTACTGGACCCAGAGGCAGCCTCATCTTCCCCTGACAGGGCTGAGAGAGGAGCACCTGCAGGCAATGGGTCCTCGAATCACCTCCGGAGCCAGAGCGGATTCAGCTGGTGTCTGCTCCTGAGGATCCGGCACAGGTGAGGGCCCTTCAGGTTCAAGCCACTGCCCCAGCTCAGCCTGCCCTGGAGGTGGGGACTCCTGTGCAGGCTGGGATTCCTCAGGTCCAGCCTCCGAATCGTATTCCCAGGCCATCACACTAGCTAACAGGACCAGTGGTCAGGGATGATGGGAATTGTAGTCCTAAAACAGCTGGAGGGCCACATTTGGCCATGCCTGGACTAGATGATCTTCGGGGTCCCTTCCAACTCTACAATTCTATGGTTCTGTTAGGACTGGTGGAATAGAAGGGACAAAGCCCAAATAAGCTGGCAGCTTTTCACCTAGGTACAACAATAAAATCTCTGTAGGAAGCCTACGACCATGAAATAAATTGGTTACCAGGATAAGGATAAAAACCTGTCATCTACCACTTCAGAAATGGAAATGAGGTCATACTAAAGCACTCAATTCTCACACTGAGAATCAAGGTTCTACTTCACATTCTAAAGGCTTTACTCATTATTTGTAAGGTGCTTTTCCGGCTAGAAAAAGCATAATTGTCCTAAGCTAGGTTGTCAACAGTTCAGTATGCACCTCAGCAGCTGCATTGTGTGGAAATGTAGAGCAGACACTGCATGGTGCCTTCGCACTCCCATTATATGCATCTACAAGCACGAGAAGCAGATACGAGGTACATCCCACACTCTGAGATTTCACTTCCAACTACCAGAAAACAGAAATTGTCTCTGATAAATAGGAACAGCTGGAGCGTATGATAAGAATCAAGATTAAAGTTTGTTATTTCTAATTTCCTCCTTCAAAAACTAGTCAATGCTTTTCATTTTGTGTATGATTATTACTGAGGTGCAAAATGCGTCAAAGTCATTTCTTTCTTGCCAGCATAATTATAATGAGGGTGTCGTGCTGAGCCATTTCCTTTAAACAGTTGGGTTGCATCGGAAAACAGATAATCCCATTTCATAATAGTCAAAATTAATAATTTATGTTTTACCATTCACATTTTCTCCCGTGTCAATAACTGTGCTTCAAGATGGTACTGGAATGTTAGGGTGTTGTTGTTGTTTAAAAAAAACAAATCTAAAAGCGTTGGAAAGTGCATTCTTCATATGACTGATTTTTCTTTCTCAGGTAATATCAGTTATGTCCATAATTAATTAATGATAAGCTACTCACTCACCTTTTTGCAAAAGTAACTTTCCCCAGATTTTTAGAGGAAGATGAAAACTATTAACAACAGTATTATTTAATAAGACCATTATTTTCCCAGTCCCCTCCCCCCCCAAAAAAAATCCCTGTGAAAATGGAGACCATTTCCTGCTGCTTTCTTAGGAAATGTCTCCACCTACATGATTTTCATCTCAACTTTATTTAACACTGTGTTAAACTCTACATACCAACTTTGGGAAACAATTCCTGTGCAGCCCCCAGAATGAGGTGCCTCTTTTGTGAAGACATTAGCATTTCTGTGAAATTTTCAAGGGAGAGTGTTTGGCACCGCCTTAATAAAAATTACAGCATGTGGTATGTGGTTCTTTCCTTTTCATAGTTCTAGCATAGCATTCCACAGCCTCTCTAGATTCCTGTGGTTCCTGGAACAGCCCTAGGAAGACATTGCATTACAACATTCTCACCTGAACTTTCCAGAGAGTGGAGGAAGCCACAGAGGCTGCATGTGGAGTGCCTGAGAGCAGCACGTTCATTTGTTTTTTAAAGTAAAATCCTTTCTTGCACCTCTGTCAGGTGTTCCACAAGTAGCGTTTGTGAAAAGCCCATGAGGGAGGGCCTTTCCCACAGCACACAAAGCTGGGTTGTTGGTACTCAGAACATGCTAGAGTTATGAAAGGGAAAGAGCACATGCACCCAGGCCATGTCTGTCTTCACTGAAATTCTCCCCTTCCCACATTTTTAAAGGAATATTTTGTACTGCCCTTCCCCCCAAGAATGGCCAGACAAGCAAACAAACCTTCAGCTGAGATTATTAGCACAGCATTGTATAATCTTCTATTGAATCCTTTATTTGTACTTGGTTCCACTGGAGGATGAGGAAATGATAATCCATCTTCTTACAGCAGCTAGGAGGTATACTAGTTTAATGGGGTAGAGAGAGATTCTAGCGACATTGGTATGGCTATTATGAATTTGGCACATCATGTTTATAATAAAGTTGGCACATTTTATGTGAGTTGGAGAAGGTAAGTGAGATAATATTAAATTTATTGGAAAACGGTACATTTTCATCATACCGGAAGTTGAAGGCGCACGACCTCAGAACCATGTGGTATTCAGAATGATTTAAGACTCTTTTGTAAGGTATTATCTTCCACGTGTGATTTCCTGTGAACTTGTGTTTTTCTTATGAAATATATGAAAAAAATAGGCATTCTCAACTGTTTTTTCCGTCTCTGCGTTCTTCCATCCACACATTTAGCCCTACATGATGCATGTATGCTAGAGCTGTATATGTGCATTTGGAGCTCCTTAGATTGTGAACAATATTGCTGGAAGTTTTCCTATGAAATAGGTCGCTATGTGGACTTTTGATACCTGCAGTTACCTCTAGATTATCACTTTTATTTTTTTCTGTTTGAAAGGAGTTAGCACAAAATCATACGATGCAAGCATTAAAATTTAATTAGTAGGGATCTACTGCAATCGCAGTGAAAGTAAATAACCTGAAGAGATGGGTGTAAGCAATCCATTTTAATTAGAGAGCTTTATTGTTAATACAGAGGTACATTTGTATATGACAACTCTTATTTTACAATTACATCACACAGTAGTTTTGTCTTACACTGTAAATCCCAGGTGAGGTAACAGTATAGTCATAAATGACTAGATGTAATCCTCTGATTGCCACTCAGCCATGAAATGTGGTTTTCCCCTCAGTAATTATGTATTGATTTCGACTCTACGAGTTTAATTTTCTCATGCAACTTGGAAAGGAAGATTAAATATATTTTCAATGCAGAAATATTTATCTACTTACCATGGGTTTGTAGGCAAGTGGCAACTGGCCCTACATGTTCACCCTTCCACAACACAGGAAAGGAAGAAACTGCCTTTATACAGAGTGATACATTTCGTCCATCTAGCTTAGTATTGTGTACACTGATGGATAGGGGCTCTCTAGGATTTCAGACAAGAAATCTTTCTCCCAGCCCTACCTCAAGATGCTGGGGATTGAACCTGCATGCAAAGCAGCTGTTTTACCACTGAGCTATGGCCCTTCCCAAATTGTATGACAGAGGTTAATATCTGCTAGGAGACATTTACATGCACACATTCATAATTTTATTGGTATGCCGCCTTTCCACAGTTCAAACCATGTTCAATGTGGCTTACAACATGAAGAAAGGCATAACTACAACACAACAAAAGCAGTAATAAACAATAAGCAAAACATTAAAATACACAACCAAACTGAACAATTTCCACATAAATCACAAGATCTAAAATAAATATAAGAAGACCCAACAGCAACAACCCTTCCTCCTCAGCAAAACCCCCGGAACAAAACCCCAGCCCAAGAGTCTGTTCAGTAGCCATAGCTTTTTGTGACTGGAGTCAGTCAGGGCCCAGGTGGAAAAGGCCTACAAGGCAGGAAGCAGGTCTTCCAGGATTTGTGGCCAAGATGGTCAATGTCATTATTTCCTTCTGCTTTGCCAATGATACACGGCTAAGCAGTTGTTATCACTGATTATTTTTAAAAAATATGTTTGTATTTGCATTCCATTTGATTTATCATTTTTTTTGTCTATTTCAGTTCCGCCAGTCATAAGAGTGTTTCCTGAAAGCCAAGCAAGGGAGCCTGGTGTTACAGCCAGCCTTCGGTGCCATGCAGAGGGTATCCCCAATCCAGTGCTTGGCTGGTTGAAGAACGGGATTGATATAACTCCAAAGTTATCTAAACAGTTAACTCTTCAAGGTAAAAGCGTAGGCATGTCTTTTTATCTGCACTACAAAGACTTCGGAGAGCAACGTGAACTTTTAAACTGGTGTAATTTATTTATCATGCCTTCAGGCAGAGCCTTGAGCAACAGGTATGATGTGTTAACTCCACCTCAGAAGTGAAGCTGACAGTTCTGAAGTCTACAAGTTACCTGTTCTATATATGTTTTCCTTTACTTCTCTGTCTATAGCTGATTTCAATTCACCTTAGTATTTTGTGCGAGTGTATCAAGTAATCTTTTTAGGAAATGTTACCACAGTGAAGTATTTTCCAATTTGAAGTGGTAAGTTTATAAAAAAACCAAGCACATGCTGTTTAACCAACTAACATATCTTCTCCTTTAATCTGTGAATATCAGTTTCTGAATTAGCATTTTTATAGACCAAATCCAATGCCTCTCTCTACCTGAGAGTTCACACGTGCATTGATTGAGCTATGATGAAATGTGCAGACATTGGCACTGAAATAGAAAAAGGCATTGCTCCTCTCTGATAGGAAGCGGAAGAATGTGCATTATTGACCAACTGCATATTTGTGGCCACATTTTATATCCCCCAAGTTAGGGGAGTTCAAGGAGGAGAGACAAAAGCTTTAAACGGGCTGGGCTAAAACAAATACTACCTGTTTCATCTTGCGAGCAAAGTGACACAACAAAAACCATAACTCATGTACTCCTTTTTTTCTTCTGCACCCAGCAAATGGCAGCGAGGTTCACATTAGCAATGTACGCTATGAAGACACAGGAGCATACACCTGTATTGCAAAGAATGAAGCAGGAGTGGATGAAGATATCTCTTCACTTTTTGTGGAGGATTCTGCTCGAAAGACACGTGTGTACTTTTTATTTTTTTCTCATACCTAGAGAAGAAAAGCCATCAGTAATTGATAGGAAGTACTTAGAAACCGTAGGAGACACACACATAAGAAAAAAGTTTTACTGTCTCATAATATGTTTTGAGACATCCCTTGGAATGTTCTGATTGAGGCTAGATCATCAAATGTGGCAGGTTCATATAGCTGGAAAGAGGTCAAATCACTGCAGCCTGCTAGTTTTCCCAGAACATCCTGTGCAAGGATTGCCTTGGCATCCATGTAATTGCTACAGAAATAACAGTCCCTCAAAAGCAATACTGACAAAAAGTAACAACAGATCCCTATTTAAGAGGTAACAGAGATTGTATCTTTATTTTCACTTAGTGTTGCCTCTCATTCCTCAGGGGAACTGATTTGTTTATGAAATCTATGAGTTTTCAGATATAATTCTAAATAGCTCTTGCAGGAATTTAGGGTGTAAGTAACTGGCCAAACAGCCTGACTGAACCTGCAATAAATATCTTGTCTTCGGTTTGGTTAAAATAGTGTGTGTGTGTGTGTGTGTGTGAGAGAGAGAGAGAGAGAGAGAGAGAGAGAAGGTGATATTATTAATTTATAAGGCTTTAGTGCCTCCTTCCTGCTGCAATCTCCAGAACCCTCTTAAAAGCTGCTTTCCAGAATGGTATTTGGTGTGACATGGGTGGAACAACAAGAAATCAGGGACCACCTTTGTACAAATAGGTGTGCTTGTTAGGGCACCATCAGATCTCAACCATTAACATCTAAGGTCTGAGGTCTGTTCAGTCAAATTTTTGACTTTATTATCTGGGAATGCATTGGAAATCTTATGGAGGGGAAATGTGTGGCTTCATGGAGTCAGCATAAATATCAACAACAATCATTTCCTTGATTTGTGCTGTATTTGCTTACGGTGTGTGGTTTATGGAAGAAGTTGATGTACTTGACATCAACTTTAAGTGTTGACCAAGCAAAATTCCATTTTCCAGTGCTTTCTGTGTCTTATTGCCATAGAAGTGTCAGGCATCAGAAGTGGGGAGAGAGACCTCCTTTGTGCATCTACAAAAAAAAATCAAAAAATCACAATAGTAGAAAGTGTAACTAAATGAGAATGGGGGTTGGATGCAGGGGTGTGTAGGTGGAAAGGAGATTTTTCCCCTAGTTAACATCCCCCCCCATGACCAAAGAGAAATGTAGTACACACTTTGTTTTGAAGTGAGCATTATTAGTCACCAAGGTTTGTATAAAACTTATAGAGCAATCGTATACACATTTGCACAACACAAAGTCCCACTGTGTTCAATGAGGCTTATTGCCAGGTAGCACTAAGGTGTAGATTGGCTTCCCATTGCAATTAATTTTTGACTGATGGTTCTTGTAGATCCTTGAGATTACCTTTCTAATTCTAATGATTGGAGATGGAAATGGTATTTCTAAATGTGAACTTAGATTCAAATGTTTTTCCAGCCTTCTGCTGCTTCTCCTCTTCCTAGCTAGGCTGACACTGACACTGTCATAAATATATAGAAGGAAGCCCAATTATAGTTACAGTAGTCATCTATGTCAGTACATCACTTCTAAGAATATTTCATAGCATTGGATACTATTCAATAATTTGATTATCTGGCTGAAGAATAAAACACTCCTTGATATATTTGGTGGCCTCTTCCAAGTAAATGTCACAAGTGCCATCTGTCTTCAAATGGCAGCTTCTCTGCTATGTTGTCTAGGTGATGAAGTGAAATTGAATGAAATTAATAGTCGCTAGTGAGGCTGTTTACCACCTGGTAGCAGTAATTCTTACACAGTCAAAATAGACCATCACAGTGCCTAATAAAAACTTGTCATTACAAAACGGATATATCTTGACTCTCATCCCCACATAATAATATTCCTAGAAGCTCTCCAACAGGCTTGAGCCACACAATCTTGTGCTCAGTCCCACTGAAATCACTAGAGTTACATATGCTAGGGTAGATGCAATACTCCTCAGTACGGCTACTATTTTAAAGAAAACAGTAGTTGATTTATCACAATGTGAACTTTGCAGGTAACCTAACTGACTGTTAATACAAGCAAACCACACATTTCAAAGCCAGTCCTGCCACGGGCAAATTGTGTTCAGAATCTCTGGCTGTTTTTTATTTGTATGTTTATTTTGCTTTTACCTATGAGCAGCCCCATATGGCAAATGAAGTTACTGTTGGGAAGGTGTGGGAAGCCAACCCTCCCCTCCCCACTTCATATCCCTATACTAAATGTTATGTGCTAAACCTCCATAAAGCAACTGGTGGTGTTGCCTGAATGGAGAGGAATGGTGCGGAGAAAGAAGAGTTCAGTGCCCTTCTCCTGCTTATGAATCATCTGCTTAAAATCACACACGCCACAACCAATTCACATTTACACTGTGCCACCTGCATTCTAAGGCAGGATGTTAGCAACAAAAGAAGCTGCTTATAGAAAGGCAGGCAGTTTGTCTGTCTAACCCGTGGGTAGGCAAACTAAGGCCCGGGGGCCGGATCTGGCCCATTCACCTTTTATTTAAAATGCATTTCTAGGTTATTTGTGGGGCATAGGTTCACCCCCCCAAAAAAATAGACTGGCCCCCCACAGGTCTGAAGGACCGTGGCCCCCTGCTGAAAAGGTTTGCTGACCCCTAACCCAATATTGTCTGCTTTGACTGGCAGAAGCTGTCCAGGCAGGATGTTCTCCTTCAGCTGCGGTCTGTTCTATTTAAGAGGGGGAGGGGGTGCCAGAGATTGAACCTGGATCATTCTGCATGCAAAGCATGTTCTCTACCACTAAGCTTTGGTCTCCTCACATTATCTTTGGTTCCTTCTCAGTGGTAATCTCAGTGGTTCCTTCCAACTATTCCACCAATAGCTTCATCCTAGCCCCTGCCCTCAAATCACAGTTCCTTTCTTCTTTGTATGCTATTCCCCAATCTCAGTATGCATTATCATTACCTCCCCTGCTCCCTACTCTGTGTGCATTAAAAGCAAAAACAAAAGCCTATCACCATTCTTCATGTTTCAGCTGCCAGTCGTCTCTGGGAAGCTAGACAGAAACCTGAGGTCCTGTCCCTTCCATAACTTCTAGGGCAGCAGTCCCTGCCTTTCACCTTTTTAATATTATCAGTGGTCACAATGTTGAAGGAATGGGAGCAAGTGACAGAACGCATGCCCCTTTGCTTCAAACTTCTCATAATATGTTCCCCAAGGAGCTCATTCATTGTGAGCTATTTAGTGGATGATAATCCTGATCTACCTCACAAGGTTGTTTTGGTTGAAAGAAACAAAGATATTGGAACAGTTTGTTTTCCTAAAAGCACCATATAAAAGGGAAATAACGAATGCTATGGTTGCAAAGCATGAAAAATATTATTCTTTCTGGAATTAAACCCATGAACCTGACTAGTAAAAGTTAATAATACGATAGGTAAGGAGATGATTTACTTCTTATTTTCTTTTTATAAAATAAACTTTAAATCTGAATTTATAAGACATACAAGAAGTACTACAAACCATAAAAAGTGAGGCAGGTGAAATGTTTTTTGCCAAAGCTGAGCAAACACAGCACAAAACACCAAGCATGTTTTTTACTTCCGTCGCTCAGTCCCTTCCTTCCCATCTATCAAGCTAATTTGGAACATCACCAGCCAGCGCATGAGAACATAAATCACCTGTAAGGACCTCCCTATGGTAGGTCTCTTTTAGTAGAAAGCTCAATCCTGATAATTCTAGCATTTTCCTTGTCACTGTGCTTTAGTTTGCAAGTGAACAGAACAGACATTTGCTGTGAACTGCAGATTTGATTGATTTTGGGGGTTTGCCTTGTAGAAGTCAGAGCTGAAGTGATTGCTGTGGCAAAAGGATTAAACCAAGAATTGTAAATCTGAAAAGTAATACTGATTTCAGCAATAATTTACTACAGCATGCCCAATAATTGTGCCAAGCCTCTTAGCTGCGTATTTACTTGGTTCTCTCGGAACCAGGTAGCAGACATTCTGATTTTATTGTAAATAGGAGACACAATCATGCCTAAGTTAAGCACTTTGAACTTATTCCTATTGATTTCAATGAGAAAACTGAAGTACTTGTTTTGTTCTCTCCCAGTGAAATCAATGGAACTTCAAGGTGTTTAACTTTTAAAAGATAATCTTTATGGTGAGTAAATATACTAAACATTATTATTACTATTATTTTTAAAATAAGGAATCTGGTTCCCTCAGTCCCGTCGAACAATTTTCACCATGGCACCCTCATGCCAGAGTTCTCCGTCAGTGCCCATATTTGAATTTTTTAATGACCTATATTGTGCTATTTGCAACCTAATCTGTCAGTTGCTCTTGCACAATGAGTATACCCAGTGCTATTTTTCTAGAAAAGGAGTCGCCAGAACTCACCATGAACACCTCCCTTCTTCTCTTACAATGGCAATGGCGCCCACTTGAGAGGTGCTGGAACTGAGTTCTGGTGAGTTCTGCCTGAAAAGAAGTCCTGAGTATATCTAGTTTCATAAGGGACCCCAAGAGTCATCTTGTCCAATCCCCTGCAATGCAGGAATAATTTAATACTCACATGCAAATATGTTGTTGAAAATAGAATGATGATAGCAACAAAGGAGGAAAAAATGAAAGTCTGAAAGGTTTAGGCAGGAGAGTAGTGCCTTGCTGACATTCCTGCTGCTTTACCCCTCCCCTCGCTCCTCCCAGTAAGCAACAGTGACCCACCTACCAGGAAGCTAGTATAGTGGCATTAGAAGAGAAATAATAAGGAGCCCTGGCTCTCTCCTATAGTCACTCTCCGCATGTTCTTCGTCTCAACGGCTGCAACACCAGATGTGTCAGTGTCAAGATTAACCTGCGCTGCCATCATACAGTTCTTTTTCCGTTGTTCTCCATTAGTACAATATATATACTGGCTCCATTATTCTTAGGTTCTACTTTTGGCAAAGTAATCCTCCGCTGTGTAAATCCATCACAGAACACTTGAACACC